AGGGGAAACAGAGGAGGAGGACGAGGAGGAGGAGGAGCAGGAAGAGGAGGAGGAGGAGGAGCAGAAGGAAGCGGGGGGAGTGGGGGGAGTGGGAGGAAGAAGATACACAGTAGGAGGAAGAGGAGGACGAGGAGGAGGACGAGGAGGAGGAGGTGGAGGAGGAGGAGGACGACGACGATGAGGATGAGGAGAAGGAGGAGGAAGCGGAGGAGGAGGAGGAGGAGGAGGAGGAGGAGGAAGACGAGGAGGAGGAGGAGTGGCAGGTTGGAAGGTTAGTCAGCTGAGCTCTTCCTGGAGGGTGCCAGCTCCAAGGTGAGCAAGCAGGCGCCCAACGCCTCGCGCCCCGCCGCCCCCGCCCGCCGACCGCGAGAGGGAGGCCTTCGCAAGAACGACTCTCAGGGCTGTTCATCCCGATGGAGAGGGCCAGTGTGCAAGATCGTCTCTTAGATTGACACCAGGGGTAAGCCCGATTAGGCGGGGATCCGGAGGAGGAGAAGGCTTCCATACCTCTACCCTTCACCCGTTTTCTCCTTGTTCAGCCTCCTGGGATGCTCTCGTCGCCGCCGCTGGATTCGCGTCGAAACTCTTGTCAAAACGCATCCCGAGAGAGGTCCGGGGGGTAGTGGTATTGGTACCTCATGGTTTCCCCAGGAATGGTGCCAGATTCGGCCAGTACTGGCCCACGGATATGCTAACGCCGATGCGGAACGTGACCTCCCGCGAGTGGCATCCTCGGGGGGGAGGAGGAGTGAGGAGGAGGGAGGAGGAGGGAGGGGAAGGGAGGAGGAGGGAGGAGGAGGGAGGAGGAGGGAGGAGGAGGGAGGAGGAGGGAGGAGGAGGAGGAGGAGGAGGAGGAGGAGGAGGAGGAGGAGGAGGAGGGGGGAGGAGGGAGGAGGGAGGAGGGAGGGAGAGAGGAGGCAGGGAGGACCGGAGGGAGCCGAAGGCGCTGCAGCTGCAGTGCACCCTGCCGTTCCAGGTCCCTCTGCTGACGAGTCCGCCCCTGTGAGCATTCTTTCGCACCGCCTGGAGCCTCCCACCCCCCTGGAAGAACGAGCGCCGCGTGGGGCCTGCAGATCGAGCGCGAACTGTCCCGTCATCATTCGAGACAGCGCCACTGAGACAAGGAACCGCTGTCCCTCCATCCTCGCACATGTTGCACTGCATCGGGCCCCTGCCCATACCATTCAACCAGAAGGATCCAGCGAGAGCCACATGCTGGACAAAAAGGACATCCGCCGGCGTAGCCGGTGCAATCTGGCCTCACTGCGGGAGCACCTGTTGAGGAACGGTCAGGCGGGAGCTCACTGTCGAAGCAAGCAGGCTGGAAGCTAGCAGTACGAGTGTGCGCGGCGACAAAGGGAGGCCAGAACTTGAAATTCACCCGCCCTCAGCCCGTGCAGCTGTTCGAGATGCTTAAGGCGCGCGTGCGCGTCGCCAAGGCGAGGTGCAGCTGTCGGGAATGCTCGACGCGTTTGCTCAGCGCCAAGGCCAGACAGAGCCCATGCTGATGATCCCCAGGACGCGTGCTAGCGCCAAGCGTGCGTTTGTCCACCGAGGCCCCTCAACACAAGGCTGACGGTGCGGGAAGGGCCGACACAAGCTGCGTGCTATCGGCGGGGCCGAACGTGGCAAGCACACACTGGGCTAACACAATTTCTAAGGATCATCCGTGTTTCACCCCCCCCCGTCCTCAATCCACGCAACTGGTGGCAATGCTTAGAACGAGCGCGCGCGGCGACAAAACACCATTTTGAAAAAGAGTCTCATTTAATACCTGCCCGGGTGGGAGATTGGAAATCCAAAGCGTCAACACCATGAGCAGTGGGGAAGTCTCAAGCGAAACGTGCTGCCCGGACTAACGACACGCCTGGTGGCGCGACAGGAAACAGTTCACTCATAAGGGCGAAGATTGAAGAAGTAGAACAGGCGAAGAGGGGAGGTGGAGGACGGGGAGGAGAATGGAAGGAGGCGGAGGACAGGAAGGCGGAGGAGGAGAAAGAGAGGGAGGAGGAGCTAGATGGGTGATTTCCTGCGTGTCTTCCTGCCCTTCCTCTTCCCCCACGCATCCATCATCATCATCATCATCACCATCATCATCATCATCATCATCATCATCATCATCATCATCATCATCATCATCATCATCATCATCACCATCGTCATCGTCGTCATCATCATTACCCTCATCATCATGAGCAGCCTAATCATCATCTCCATCGTCATTAATATGATTATTCGTAATATGGTTAACACCACCATCATTCTCATCACCACCAGCATCAGCATCATCATCAACAACACCAACAGTATCATCAACATCATCATCTACATCAGTATCATCCTTCTCCGATGGCGCGGCTACTATCCGACCGCTGCAGCTCGAGTCCCCGCCATCCCCTTCAACCCCCCCCTGAGAATGTCCCCCCCCTCCCCCATCAATGCCTCGACATGACGGTGCATGGTGTCGGTGGCGACGACAAGATACGTGTCGGCCGCCAGCTTGGACACGGTAAGGTCCGCCTCCAGCCTGCCCTCCTCGTTCAACCACTGCGTGTAGGTGATCCTCCGTGGGCTAAGAAGGTGTGGGGAGAGAAAGGCTTCGTGCACTTGCATCCGCGGCTTGCCGATGCCAGCGAAGGGACACACATCTATCTCCCTCCCATTGTTCTCAATACTCCAGACTCCGCGCGACTACACGATTGGTTACGGAAACCCTTAGTCTGAAAAGTAACATCTCTTGAGAACGCGCCGCTTATGATCGCCAGCTGTCACCAGCCTTCCACCAATTTCCGCGGGCGGTGCTGCCATCGATTTGTTTCCGCCGCCCTCCGCCTGGGGGAGAGATGTCAACTCTGTCGATCCTCGAAGGCGAGAAAGTTTCTGGAACGCCTCACATGACGGTCAACGGCCGCCCCAGGGTGGCTGCAAATTCCCCCACGACGATCCAAGATCGTCCCCGCAACGAGCAAACTCGGCTTCCAGAGACGCCCAAAGAGGCCACCAGTGAGGCCGTAAGAAGTGTCAAGCATCCAAACGCCTAAAGAGCCTATGAGATCTGCTTCCCTGGGCTCTGGCTTCTGATCGACCCCGGAAGCGTCAGAGAGCACCACGACGCCCCCAAAGACAGACCCAGGACGGCCCCAAGAGTGCCCGCAGACATCCCACAGAAAACACAAGACGGCCCCAGATGACTCCGAGACGACCCGCCCATGCGTCCCCAAGATGTTTCAACCGAGTCACTGCGGGAGAGATCTATGCGGAACCATCGCGCCTACGATAAGATGACCGCGGGACATCCGAGGGACTCTCGACGGGCCCGCGGCCCCCGAGGGGGCCCTACACAGGGCCACAACGGCCCTTCCAGAAGGAAGATGAAGAAGCAGAAGAAGGGGGATAGACGACGAAGAAGAAGAAGAAGAAGAAGAAGAAGAAGAAGAAACACCGGCATGAAGAAGATGGAGAAGGGGGATCGAAGAAGAAAAACTGCATAAAACGTAGACTGTTGGTGCCACACGCGAGCTTCTTGTATCTGCGATGTGTCCCCCTCCCAGGCGCGCGGAGCGCGCCAGGGGCGGCGCCGGAGGCGCAACCGGGGGGCCCAGCGCACATCAAAGAAAGCCGCGTGGAGCGCCAAAATATCCTGTTTATGTTTATGGTGTTTTTTCTTCTTCGAGGGGAGGCGGAAGATGGAGAAGGGGGAGGTGGCAGAGGAGGAGAAGGATGAGGAAGAGGACGTAAGGGAGAATAACCAGGGGGAGGGAGAAGAAACCAAGGCTGCGGACGAGGAGGGACCATACACGACCCGCACAAGCCAGAGATCAGGACTCTGAACTTGGCAGCGTCACACGGTCAGCGGCGAGCGAGGGAGGGAAGTGAGAGGAGGTGACCTCCTCAGAAGGCGGCGGAACTACTTCGAAGTCCTCGTGCCGTCTGAGAAGTTTGTTATGCCTTCGGGGAAGGCTTAGGAAACTTCTCAGAAGGCCGAGGGACTCCCGAGCCTTCTGAGAAGGCCCGACCCTTCTCACTTCCCTCCCTCGCTCGCCGCCGATATTTGAAACTCAAACCCCTTCCTACTGCGCTAGAGCGCTTGCGGAATCTGCCGCGAGCAACTGGGGCTGGACGTCCTGAGATTCCCGTGGTCTGTCGGGCAACCCGGAGTCCCCACATCGGTCCCAAACGTCCATGCTGCTCACCATTAGTTTGGCCGCCAACCTAGATCCTGCCAGCCTCTCCATCCACGTTCCCAGCCGAGATGAAGTTCAGCACGCGGCCCGCGTCGCGGCCTTGCACCATGAACTTGGACATGAACGACATATCTATCAGCACGGCGCCGTCGCGGCAGGCCTTGTGCTCCGCCTCCCAGTGCGGGAACCAGCTCTCCCGGCCCCACGAGTGCGCCTCGATCTTCGGCTCGGCGCCTGGTCCAGCGAACCAGTCGGCCCCCTCCCAGCCACTGACGTCTCGAAAGTACGCTCCGCGCTCCACCAAGCGGTGGTGCAGGGGCGAGCGCTTCACGTCGCGCGCTGACTGCACGGGCTGCGATGGGTAGTGGCACTTGTACACCTTCCCGAGAGACTCCACCACTCGGCGTGCCCTGTAGTCGGGGTTGGTCTAGTACTGGGAAGGCTTCGGGCTGCGCACAGACAGCCCTCCCAGGCAGTTCCGGTTGTTCTTAACACGCCTCCCCAATCGTCCATACTTGCTTCAAGAGCCCCCCCGAGTAGTTCTACTGCAACCCTGGGGCGCGGAGCCCCGGACCACGCGGGGTGCTTGTTGGGGCCAGCTGGGACTACTCAGGGGGCCTGGGGGCTGTCTTAGGAGCAAAAACGTAAACATAAACTTCTGGCGCTCCCTCCCTGGATCCGCGCTGGCCCTCCCTCCCTGGCGCGCGGAGCGCGCCAGGGGCGGCGCTGGAGGCGCAGTCGGGGGGGGGCCCAGCGCAGATCCAAGAAAGCCGCGCGGAGCGCCCAAAATTTATGTTCATGGCGTTTTTGTTCTCCTTCGATTGTTGGGGCCAGCTGGAATTACTCGAGGGGGCCTGAGGGCTGTCTGCGCGCAACCCGCAGCCTTACCAGGTCTGGTACCACTGCGCACGGTCCACATTGATGCCAGTGACGTCCATGTCTGGGCGGCCCTTCACGATCCAACGGGCCAGGAGGCGCCCGATGCCAGGGCCAGACAGGATGCCGACAGAGTTGAGGCCGGCCGCGACGAAGTAGTTCCGCAGCTCCGGGGCCTCCCCGACCAGCGGCGCCAGGTCCGGGGTGAAGCTCTCGGGGCCGCAGAAGAACTGGCTCATGCCCACCTCGAGCGCCCTAGGAGGAGGAGGAGGAGGAGGAGGAGGAGGAGGAGGAGGAGGAGGAGGAGCAGGAGCAGGAGAAGGAGCAGGAGGAGGAGGAGGAGGAGGAGGAGGAGGAGGAGGAGGAGGAGGAGGAGGAGGATGGAGGAGGAGTGAGGGGCGAGGAGTTCGCAAGAAGATGAGGAGGAGGAGGAGGAGGAGGAGGAGGAGGAGGAAAAGGAGGAGGAGCAGGAGCAGGAGAAAGAGAACGAGGAGGAGGAGGAGGACGAGGAGGAGGGAGGGCCTTGGGACCCTCGACATGGCCCTCTCTAGGAACGGGGCCATGCGGTCCCAGTCTGGCTGGATCTCCCCGAAGGAGAAGTCCTCGGGCACGGCCGGCACGCTCCAAGCTGCGGCTTCGGGCTCGAAGAGGCCCACCATCAGCCCGCCCCGCTCGGGCCGGATGTAGGTGTGAGAGGCCGGGTCCTCCACGATGGTTGGCGGCGCGCGCACGGAGGTGTCGCGAAGGCGGCGGCCTTCTAAGAGGCCTGGGACGGGTAGCCATAAGAGGACCCCTAACCCTTTGGGACGGGACCTGAGCTAGGAGGGCCAAAGCCATCAGGGATAAGGGGGTCTTTTTCTGCAGATGTATCAGGCCAAGCAGCCCAGCATTATTATCCCTAATGCGAAGACGGGGACCTCAGTGAGACCGTCTTCATCGCGTTATTCGGAGAGGGCCTCTTGTGCTCGATGATGGAAGGCTCCCGGCAAGGGGGGCTTCTGAGAAGCTCTCCTGGCTTCCGCGAAGCCTTTCCGCAAGCCCCTGGGACCTTCTGCGTGAAAACGCCCCCGCCATCGAAGCATTCCCCCCCCCCTTGGCGCCGCCCCCCTGGTGCGCGCCGCCAAGCTGGGCCAGTCGGGATGAACGTCTGGCATGGCCTCCGTGATCAGGTAGTAGTGCTCTGCTGCCTGGTTGGGCACCGCCACGCCCGCGAGTGCCCCAAACTGCCGCGCCCACATGCCGGCGCAGTTCACCACGTACTCCGCGGCCACGTCCCCGTGGGCCGTGGCCACCCCAGCGACGAGGCCGTCACGCTTGAGGACGCCAGTCACGGGAACGCCCTCCACGATCCTGGAGGAACAGCAGAAGCGCGCAGGCATGCTTCCCCGAGGGCCCCCGCGCGCTTTTCGTGGAGGTCGGCGCTAGACCCTGGACCGCCCTCGCCCTGCTGGCACGCGTGGCGCACCCGGGGCCAGCCCCGGAGGCACCGGCCGGCGAGGGGGGGGGGCACTGCGCGAATGTTCACGAAAACCGCGCGGCACTCCGCAAGTGTAGGCTTGCTTGCTGTTCGAAGAATGCCCTCCACAATCCGCACCCCGCGCTCGCGTGCGGCCTTCGCGATGGCCATGGACGCGTCCACGGGATTGACTCTGCCGTCGTCCGGGACGTAGAAGCCCCGCAGCACGTCGTCCGTGCGGCAGAGAGGGAACAGCTCCGCGACCTCTCTGGGCCCGATCTCTTGGACGTCCACGCCGAACAGCCGGTTGGCGGCGGCCACCCGCCGGTACTCCTCCAGGCGGTCGGGCTCGGTGGCGAGCTCTATGTGCCCGGGGAAGCGTATAAGACTGGGGAGTCTGGGGGGCTCGAGCTGGGGGTTGATGGGGGCCGTCAAGCTAATGGCGGAACACCCAGTCTGAAACTGTCAAACATCAAAAGTAGATGAAAACAAAAACCATAAACGTAACCCTTTGGTGCTCCGCGCGGATTTCTTGGATCCCCGCTGGACCCCCTCCCTGGCGCGCGGAGCGCGCCAGCGGCTGCACAAGATGCGCCGCCAGGGGGGCCCAGCGCAAATCCACGAAATCCGCGCGGAGCGCCAGGCGTTTATGTTCATGGTGCTTTTCTCCCAATTCGAACAGCTCATGAAAACTGGACCGTCAAAGTGATTGCCAGGAGAGACAGAGAAAGAGACGAACCCGAGTTCCCGCAGTCCCCAAATTCTCATCACGCTCCCTCGATCTGAAGCCGCACGCCTTGAACCCCGTCGACTGCCCCGTCTCCGACTCCAGCCTCCGGTACAGATCCTTGGAGTACTTCCGGAACTCGGTGGAGGTCTCCGAGAGCGAGCCGAAGGTGCAGACCAACCCCGCGGCGTGCCACGTCGTCCCGGACGTCAGCCGGTCGCGCTCCAGGAGCACCACGTCCGTCCAGCCCTCTAGCGCCAGGTGGTAGGCCACCGAGGTGCCGATGATGCCGCCTCCCACCACGACGACGCGGGCCTTCGGCGTCGCGCACAGGGGGGCGGCAAGGTGGGGGGCGGCCTTCTGAGGAGGCGGCGGGGGCTTCTCAAGAGGCAGGGGGCATTCTCAGAACAATCAGGGCAGAGCCTGGAGGCTTCTAAGAATAGACGCCGGAGGGCTTCTAATCAAGAAGCCCCACGCCTTCCGAAAGTTACTCCCCCCTTCTCAGATCCAGACACCACCCAAGGTCGTGTGTTTTTTCCCAACATGGTTCCCCAATTTTGCGCCAGTGAATGGGGGACGATAAAATTGAGAGGGCAGCTAGGTACCATGTTTCGGGCCCTGAAAGCCCACTTCTGGGCCCGAAAGGGCCCCAAGGCCCCTTTTCGGCAGCCCTCGCTGCCCCCATCATTTATCGCCCCCCATTACGCGTCCTCCGACCCTAAGGTTCCGAACCGTTCCCAAGAACCGGCTTCCCATGCCAAAGCGGCTCTTGGCGGCCGCGAGGGGGCCCAATCTCTTCCGCCGAGATGTGTCTCCGCGAGCAGGGGCAGGCTGGCCTCTCTCTCAGGACCTACAAACTGCCTCCGCTCGGACGCCAACTTTTCGGTCTCGTGCGTGGCGTCATTTGCTGCTACATGACCCAGGATGCTCCGCCGCAGCCCTCGTCCAGGATGCTTCTCGATAGTCCTCGCCGAGAGAAAACGCACACGTCCGAGGGATGCCAAGACAATCCAGACACCGGTCAGTCAGGCCTTGCAGGATCCTGCGAGATCGATCGTGCAGGCTCCTGCAGTAATTCCTGCAGCCGAGCCCAGGCCTGCACACCGCTGGCTCTGCAAGGTCCTGCAAGGTCCGTCGCTGTGACTGACCCCCGTTTGCATTTGACACCCGTCTCTCGCGACCCGACTCTCGCGCGATGTGGCGGAGCCCAGTTACCCTGCACCAGAGGACATGCAATATCCTGGGAGGGCAACTTTGACTTGCGCCGGCTTCTACGGGCATTCTGCTCGCTTCCGCTGGCAGTGCAACCCACGTTTCAATTGCGCTGCCTTCCGCCGAGGTAGACATGTTCATCCTCTCTACCTTGAGATCCGACGTTGCGAGAAACTACAACATCGCGAAGACTCACGATGAGAACTCTACACCCCATCTTTCTGCGGCCTTCTTCAAGCCGGGCCGACCTGATGGCCCCAGGCCCCGATACTGAGCAAAAACGCCCGGTGTGAACGGAATTGCAGAGCCGGGATCCCCAGATCCGGGCGCTACAATTTTGTTCACACCTGGGTACCCTGATCAGGGTACCCAAAGATCTGCCTTGTATACCTTTTTCGCCACGGGGACCCTGGAAAGCTCGAGCCGCTCCCGCGGACCCAAGTCTCATCCCGAGTCGTTTCTTGATGGCCCCGCGGGTCTGGCGAAGGCCTCTGAAGGCCGAACACGGCGAAAAACACCTGCGTCTTGATCGTGTCAATGCGTTGCATCACTGGGTATCCCTCGAGCCACTCCTGCGGATCAAAGTCTCATCCCGAGTCGTTTGTGGATGGTTCCGCGGGTCTGGCGACGGCCTGCCTCTCTGGAGGCCGAACACGGCGAAAAACACCTGCGTCTTGATCGTGCCAATGCGTTGTATCTTTAGGTCGGGCATGTCCTCCTACAGGCGGACCTTTGACGGCAAATGAAAAATACAAAACACATAACCAATGTCCAGAAATACTACACATATCGTCTCCAGACTTCTTTAAGTGTATTAAAGAAAAGAACATGTTTGAATATTCCTCCTGTCGAGGGACAGGCACGACGTACTTGCATCTCTGGATAACCCTCGAAGGCAGAGCCCACGTCTCGAAGGCGCGAAAGCGCGCCACATCACCCCCCCTCCGGTATGCGCATGCCGCGAGAGGGCCTGCTGCGGCAGGCCCGCCGGGGCACCCCTCTCCGCGGCCAGGCAGAACCTTAGGATAGGCCCCCCTGGGATCGGGTCCGAGCGGCTGGGGGTCGGAGGCTCCTGCCGTATGTGGTGGTGTTTTCCATCGACACCACCATAAGTAGGAGGGGGAGGGAATCCTCCTCCTCCTCCTCCTCCTCCTTCTCCTCATCCTCATCCTCCTCTTTTCCTCCTCATCCTCCACCTCCTTCCCCCCTGCAACTTATGGTGGTGGTGGTGGTGAAACAGGCCCATCATCGGAGGATCCTGCCGCATGGCCGATGCCATCGGCGATGCGCCCGCGGGGCATCGGCGCTGCGTCGGCGATGCGATGCATCGGCGCCGTCGGCGTAGAGAAAGCCCGGCGCCACGTCGAGCCGCATCGGCGATGCCTCGGCGATGCGGCGCGTCCCTTGATGCCCTGGCTGCTCGGACGCCATCTGGGAGGCCCAGAGAATTGGGCGGCGATGAACAATAGGGGGGCGATACATTGGGGGGCAGCGAGGGATGCCGAAAAGGGGCCCTTAGGGCCTAGCGCTCCCTCCATTACAGCAGGAGCTCGACCACAAGAAATCGTCCACAAGGAACCCAACTGCGAGACCCCAGGACGTCCATTGATCTCTGGTGTGGGAACGCCACGGCTTCCATCTCAAAACCGTCGACACCCAAGACGCCCAGGGCATCCTGGAGTCAAGCAGGGTGCTTCTTGGCACGGGTTTTTGCTCCAATCCCAGAGATGTGACGTCGTGATTTTTCCAATGCGGGCTCCCCAGAAGTCCCGACCCTTTCCCCATGGCCAGCTGTTCATGTGGATTTGCTTGTTTACCTTCCCGGGGCCTGGCCCGGCGAGGGCCTCCAGACGCCCGCAAAACAGCGAAGACCCCCCGTCTCGATGTTTTCCCATGCGTTCGATCTCTCTGGGGGCTTCGCGCCCACGAGATCCGCCGCCCCGCGCTGGCCGCCAGCGGCGCCGCCGGCAGCGCCCGCTCCGCCCCGCGGCAGGCCCGCGGCGCCTGCAGCAGGCCGCCGGCGGCGCGGCGCAGCGCGGCAGGGCGTGGCCTCATCGGCCCTCGGCGGCGCGGCGGCGGGCGCGGGCCGTCCTCGGGGCGCGCGGGGCCTCGGGGCCGGGGCCTCGGGGGCCGGGGCCGCCACATGACGCCTCTCGGGGACCGGCGGGCCCGGGTCAGTGCAGGCTGCTCCTCGGTGGTCCTCCTCGATGGTCCCCGCCGAGTACAATTCCACACGTGACGCCCCTCGGGGGCCCGATATCCAGGATCAAGATCCGGGTGCACGTGCACCCTGACCCGGGTCAATCCAGGATGCTCCTCGATAGCGCTCGTCCAGGAGGCTCCTCGATGGGCCTCGCCGAGCGAAAAGACGCACACGGCCGAGCGCTGCCGAGGCAATCCGGGTCCGTGACAGTCAGGCCTTCGCATGCTCCTGCGAGATCCTGCAGGACTCCCTGCGGGAGCTTCAGCAGTCAAGCCCGGGCCAGTGCGACCGCGGCCCTGACCCCTGCTTGCATTGACCCACGTCGCCCGAGCCCCGATCCCAGATCATCGGATGCTCCGGATTGCTTTTCGGCCCCGTGCGGTAGGGACCGACCGGCACTCGAGTCGAAGAAGAAACACCGAGCCGCAGAGTCACCTGGCGATGGGACAACAAGCGAAGGAGTCACACCCTCACGGGCTCCCAGCGGCGGCGTGTCATCGATGCTCTTCCTCCCCTCATGGCTGAACTCCTCGCGTCGTGGAGAAATCGCGGCGATCTGTGTTGGGTGTTTTTGCTCCGGGAGGACGAGGACGAGGACGAGGAGCAGGAGGAAGATGGATACCTTTGTAATCTCACGCTTCTGTCCCCATTCGAACCACTGGCGACATCCAGGGACCTCTGGGCGGGACTGACCTTTAAACGCCCACGGCTGTGCAGGAGTGAGCGCCGGGCACCCAGATCCCTGGCGTCACGTTTTTCATGACGTGGACCCCCAGGAGGTCTGGACCCCGAAACTGGGGACAACTTTGTGGAGCTTTTTTCCTTTTGTTGACGGTCCCAGGGCGCAGAGAAGGCCCCGCGTGGCCAGCACGTATGAACAACCCTTCGTCGTGGTCTGTGCACGACGCGATATGGAGCTCAGGGCGTGGGGGTCGGGACGCCTCTGCTCCTCCCTTGCCTGCTGTTCCAGGCCTGCTTTCGGGGTGGACCCTCGGGGTGGGCTTCCAATCGGGCGAGGCCTGGCCGACCCCTGGCAGACCATCCCCTTCTGTGAGCTCCTCCTCGCCCTTCGAGCGACGACGAGTCGACGACGACGACGACGACGACGCAAGCACCATGTAGGTGCCGATCTGCCCCACAGCGCCGCCCCTGTGTACACCACAATGCTCGCGTGCACCACAGCGCTGGTGTACACCACAGCGCCCGCGTACACCGCAGCAGCCGTGTGCAAAGCAGCGCCTGTGCACACCAGTGCTTCAGCGTCTGTGTACACCACAGCGAATATGTACACCGCAACCACCATGTGCAGCACAGCGCATGTGTACACCACAGTGCTTGCGTGCACCGCAATGCCTGTGTACACTACACACCACACCACAACATCCGCGTGCAACGCAGCGTTGGTGTACACAACAGCGCCTGCGTGACAGGACACAGGTCGAAGGAGCATGTAAGTGAGGATCTGCTACGCACAGTTGAACGCCACGCCAGGGAAGTGCTGATAATAGAATGCGACGTTCTCCCCTCGCCCCTCATCCTCCGCCTCCACCTCCTCCTCCTCCTCCTCCTCCTCTTCCTCCTCCTCCCCTTCCTCCTCCTCCACCCCCTCCTCCTCCGTCACCCTTCCCCCTTGTCGTGCGGGTCGGCTCTACAGCACACGTGCGCATCTCAGCGGTCACTGCAGAATTGTTGATTGAATCTGTCCACTTGGTTATCGAACGGCCAATTTAGCGGGAGCGTCCTGGACGCAGATAGGAGGAGTTAGGATGATACGGGCGGACTCGGGACGAGTCGTAGATTCCAGCGGCGCTCCTTGTTCAATAAGGATACCTTTTTCGAATCCTATATAAAACACTTGTTTCCTGTGGAACCCACAGGCGTTCCATTTTGTCATAAGGATTCCTTCTGACATTCTATTTACAACAATGGTGCTCCGTTGCACACAGTTGCTCTGGTACGCACAGGCGCCGTGGTGCAAACAGGCGCTGTAGTGCACGGAGGCATTCTGATGTACACTGGTGCTGTACTGCGCACGAATGATGTGGTGTACGCAGGCGCTGTGGTGTGTACAAGTGCTGTGGTGCCCTCAAGAACTTTGGCACACACTGGCGCTGACTTGCACGCGGCTGCTGTGGTGTACACAGGCGGTGCGGTGTACACAGGCGCTGTGGTGCACGCAGGCACTGCGGTGTACACAGGCGTAGTGGTGCAGATCGCCGCCTACATGCTGCTGCCACCCGTCCTCGGTCATTCCTAATCATTCCGAGACGCCGCCGTGTCGAAACGTGACGCTATCAGCCCCATCCACCCTCTCCCAAATGATTGCCACCATCAGCCCAGAATAATAAGCAGGCTTCCGCGCGCACGACGACGATGAGCGACGAGCGACGAGCGACAAGCGACAACGATAACGACAACGACGACGACGACGACGACGACGACCACGACGACGACGACGACGACGACGAATGCGGAACAGACTCCTATGCGGATGCCTATGCGGACACCTATGCGGATCCCGATGCGCACGGCGGCAGTGCGCGGAGCGAACTGGGGGGGGGGAGCGTTGCGTTCTAGGGGAGGGGGCGGCCGGGGCCATGTCGCCCGTCATGACCCAAGCAATAAACAACATACGCTCCGACGCATGGCGCCACTGAAGTGGATCAAGCCAGAAAAAGCCTGAGACTAAGCGGGATCTGCCCGGACAACCAAAAACCGCGATTCGGCGGGATGACACGCAACCAGGAGGGAGAGGATGAGGAGGAGAAGGAGGAGGAGGGAGGGGGCAGAGGAGGAGGAGGAGGAGGAGAAGGAGGAGGAGGAGGGTGAGGAGGAGGACGAGAAGAATGAGGAGGAAGAGAATCGGGGAGGAGGAGGATGAGGAGGAGGCCCGTCATCGAACATGGAAATACGTGTGCTGATGCAGAATGTTTATCTCCCATGTGTTGCACCCTATAGTAACCAGAGCAGGCACGCGCACCACCACCCCAGAGGCCATTCGACGGACCGAGCTCGCCCAGCAAGCTCGATCCTCGATCAGAGGGGGGCGAACAAGGGAGGATGACATGAGGCGAACAGCTCAGGAGGGAAGGATCGGACTGGAATAGGCGATGCAGTCGACCCGTATCACAAGGACGCACGATGAGGATGCAAGGGCCTTGGAAGGGCATGTCGACACCTTGCGAGTGGGGCGCGGCCAGAGAAGGCGGCCGAGGATGGGCCGAAGGGGCAAGGATGCAAGGGCACCATTGGGAAGGTTGCCCATTCGAGCTATGCGGGCTGACTGCACATCGCAGATGGATCAACAAGAAGCCATCGATAGCGCAACCGCAGGTTCATGGGCGGGCTGGACGCGATGAATGGGCGATTGGAGTAGACGCTTCCACTCCCCACCCCCCCCGCCCTCCCGATATCATACCTCCCCAGCGTCGCCCCTGAGGCCCGCGGGCGCGGCGGCCTCCTCCTCCTTCGGCGGCGGCGGGTCGGGGGAGTGCTCCTCGCGCGCGCGCACACGCGCGAGTAGCGGCGTGCGCGACGCGGCCCTGGAGTGCGGCGCGGCGTCTGCGGCTCCGCGGCTCGGTGGCGCAGGGAGGAGCACCGCGGGCCAGGATGTCAGGATGCAGCTGCTGGGAGATCTTCGGAAGAACGATCAGGATATCATGATAGGAAGGATTGGTACAGGATATGCGTCAGGACTTCCAGATCATATCGAGTGGCCCTCGTTTCGGCAGCCCGACTGGGATGTTCAGATATCAAGGGGACCCTGAACTCTTGCGCCCCTGATCACCGAGGCCCTGAGCTCATAAGATGGACTAGCCGAAGTAAAGCCCAGCATTGACCCAGGATCAGACCCGACTACACGGGAGGCCGTGCTAGACGGGAGTATGCAGGGTTGGGCTTCTCCTGGACCGCGGATATGCCAGCGCCAATGCTGAATATGACCTCCCATGAGGTGCGCCCTCAAGGAGGAGAGCGCGGCGCAACTCCTTCACGGTCACCACACCCCTGTTGCTGCCGATGGCATCTAATGAACGACAGACGAGCGCTGCGCAGGACCTTCACTCTCTCCACGCCTCTGTTGCTGCCGGGTGCGAGGTCTGAGGGACTTCGTGAGCACTTCGTATGCGGCTAGCGCCCATTTTCCGCCTGCTCCCGAGGCGGCCACCCAGGCCGACGTGGCACAACTAGAAGGCCAAGAAGTCAATAGATTCGGAAGATTCGCATGCTTTTGTATGAGGCAACAAACTCTGCGCAGCCCCAAAGGGACGACAATGAGCGAGCGCCGAACATCCCATTGCACAGTAATGTGCCAATCGTATGCAGACTATTTCATCTGGGCGCAAAGGAGAAAGAGTCAACGGAACGAAAAAACAGGAGAGCCAGAATGGTACTCAAGACTGGCGGTTCCTGAGTCGCACGTGTGGGGAAGAGTAAAGGGGAAGATGATTAACTCGTAGGTGTAATGACTTGCTCACCGTTCTTGGGCCTCTGGGCGGCTCCTCGCTGCCACGGCTGCATTCCCATCAGCACACTGACCGACGCGCACTGGAAGAGAGGTCGGCTCGTTGTTCCTGAAAGAGGCAACCTGCGCCGGTGCCATGCCGAGAAGCATCCTGCGCTGGTTGCTGACCGCGAAGGGATCGTTCACCCCGTGAAGGCCCGCGTATCTCTTGGTATCGGGGGGGGCCCTGGTCCTCCTCCGCCTCCTCCTCCTCCTTTCCTCCTCCGCCTCCTCCTCCTCTCCGCCTCCTCCTCCTCCTCCTCCTCCTCCTCCCTCCCCCTCCTC